TATTTTCAGTATAAATTGATTTACGTTTATATTGAAAAGAAGCGTGTATGAATAATATTGACCATCGGTAAATTTAAGCAAAGTCCCACGTATTTGTTACTCCTTTGCATAATAAATTTTATTTCCTGGCCGTCAGGTAAAAGTTCCCTTATTGTTTGCTACGCCCGCGTTAATTTCACAAGTTTTTCGTGTGAGCAAATTTGCCCCTTGTTTATCACATGATGTCGGAGGTCCTTAACATTTTGGAGCTCATAATAACTGAGATACGTGAATAGAATTTTACTATTAAACACTGCAAAACCGCTTCATGAATCCTCTGTTCAACATTGATTATTAGATAAAAATTTTCCCCTAGTTTCGAAAACTTGAAGAGATGGCGCTAAGGTACAACTCATTGAACTTGAACCAAAGAATATATTCTTTATGTATTCTTTGCTTTAACTACGTTTATAGTTGTCAGGTAGTTAAAAACTAAGCTTTGATATTTAAAACATTTTTTCATTTAAAATACCATAAATTTATTGTATTTTTAATTGACTCTCGTTAATCAGAAGCTACGTTAGTAAAAACTGACAAAACTTTTTTCCAACAAATTTAAAATCAATCACACAATGAAATTACTTGATTTCGGGATAAGACGTTATTTTTTTTTTTTTGGATTTTCGTCTAGGAAGACGTTAAAAACGTCAATGTTTTTTATTTATTTATTTTTTAATTTAATTTTTAAAATTAATTTTATACATTTGCCCTCGCAATTTAGCAGCTAATTTTTAATCTACGGATTTTCCATCAATTTTTCGAATGCCTGTAAAATTTTCGGCAAATTTTTATTGTATGACTAGAAAAGCGTTTCCATGTAAAAAATAAAATAAAATAAAATAAATAAATAAGTATGTAAATAAAAAAATAAAAAAAGCAAAGCTGTGTTCGAATAATTTCTTAGTTCTAATAATTTCTAAGCACAATTAAAATATTAATTAATACATTAATTAATGCTATCAATTAATTTATTAATTAATATTAATAAATAATTAATAATAATTAAAAGCATTAATTGAAAAGAAAAAGCATCTGCATTTTAATTTTCAACAATACCCAATTCTAAACAATTTAAAAATTCATTTCTCCAAAATGAACTAATTGAAATTTGTTTACGTGTTTCGAGATCAGGGTGTTAAAATAGTCCGTGCACCCGTTGCTCTAATGTCAGGACACTCTAGCACAAATTCTGGTGGGTTATAAGAGAGACTCACGAACTCTTTCTTTTATAATCATAGATTCTGATCTTATAATGACATATTTAAATTTTAAAGCATTTTTAACAATTCAAAATTAAACTTCCCTCTGCACTAAAACTTCAGAAATAGCATCATTGTTCACATTTCTAATGCGAATATTTTTAAACACTTAAAAGCTAAAACTATCTGTATTTAAATTCCAACAGTCGTCTCATTGTTCAATAACCTAATGCGATTATTTTTTGAACAATTAAAAATTAAAATTCAATATTTATTAATCCAATGTTAACCTTATTTAACCTCAATACTTATTAGTCCAATGTGATCATTTTTAAACAATTAAAGAAGAGATAAACTGCATCTAAAAAAAAAAAAAAAAAAGATAAAGCTGTTTTATTGCCATTTTAACTACAATATTAGGTTGGCCTTCTGAGCCCAAGTCTGCGGGTTCGATCCCCGGCCCAGACACCGGATTTTCGGGAGGCAGAAAATCCTCAGCGGCCATGTCGTATGATTATGCGGCATGTAAAAGATCCCTGGAGTGCCTTATTGGCTCTTGGCATTTCCGGCAAAATTAAATTCCTAGTGCCCTTTAGCATCCAAATAGAGTCTCGGTGCTGCCATCTAGTGTGGCAGAAACTAGACGTCCAAATTAACTTGGCCAACGGTATCTCACCCATTGTGGTGGTCCTGAAGTAGTGGATACCACTTCTGGAGAATGCACTAGGTCTGCACATTAGGAAGACTGATTGTGCAGCTCATTGGAAGTAAAAAAATAAATAAATTAGTCTAATATTAATCTTTTAGAAATGATTTCACGTTTAAAATTTGCTTTGAAAGTTTTTATCAGAAACTATAAAATTGTACTCCGTGGCACAAAATATATTGCTCAAGTCTACCAACCATTATATAAAAGTTTCGGTCTGTAAGTTCCACCATATGCTTATTAAATACGTACTCAGTTAAGCTCATAAACAAACATGAATATCAATTACCATATTGTACCAACGAAATATAATCTATGATAAAATAACATCCTATACACATTTTTCTGTAAGCATCAACGGAAGACTCAGTAGATATAATTTCAGATAGGTACATATTTCTGATATGTAAATAAATATCTTATTAGCTTTATTTTCATAAATATAAGTCTGCTTCCTCTATATTTATTTCAACGATTTCTACAGAACTGAAAGTTTTTAAAATAAATCCTACTCATGACAATTAGGAAAAAACTTGATAAAAGTAAATAGTTTAATTCACGCATTTAACAAAATCACATTTCAATATATTATTATCAAAATTAATTTTCAAATTAATCAAATAATCTTCTGTAGGCATAAAAAACTATATAATCAAATGCGAAATTTATCATTAAAAGCTATCATTTTAAATGCGAAATTTATCATTAACATTTGCTATAAATATGAACTTCCCTTTTAAGAAATGACTATATTAATTATTGTCTTATCTAAGTAATTAATAATAAGTAACTACGCATCTCCTCTAAGTAATAAAGATCTTCCGATCCGGCTCGCCCAGGTTTTCATGGTTTCTCGACCAGGAACAATCTTTTAATGGGGCACATTAGGACCCATAATCCTCATAGAACAATCCCTGACGTCTGTAAGCTACTTGAACATAGTTGCAGACCGGGTTCACCCATTCATGGCGACAGTTTTTCCTGCGGGGGATGGTGTTTACCTACAGGATAATGCACCATGTCGTAAGGGTCGAATCGTCGAGGAACATTTCAGTGACTTTCAAGTCATGTCTTGGCCCCAAATTCACCTGACTTTAATCCAATAGAGCATTTGTCGTCCTACTTGGAAAACCAAATTCGTACTGCCACGCTACCCCCTCGCAATGTGAGGGAATTGCAGGACCAGTTAGTGAGCGCTTGGTACCAGATACCTCAGACTACCTATCAGCACCTTGTGGAATCAATGCCACGGCGGGTGCTAGCAGTTTGGAGGGCTAAAGGTGGTCCTACATGTTATTAGCAGGGTGGTCATAATGTAATGGCTCTTCGGTGTATTTATAGCTTTCAGATCTTCGACTAATTTTAGTCACTTAACAGTTTAAACACTTTTGTAATGTCATAATTTCTGTCAGTAAATATCTTTCTTTATTTTGAGCTCGTTACTTACCTATACCTATTTTGAGAAATAAATAAAACTGTTTATCAATGATATATGTAAAACTATTATTAAAATTCTGAACGATATCTTCAATTGAGTAAACAAGAAATGCGATTTTGATTCTTTAGAAATATAATTGAAAACGTGTGTAAATACTGTAACGCTTATTCGAAGGAATCGTTAAGTCAGTAATTTCTTACAAATAGTGAATAATGTTCGATTTAACAAACTTTTATTTTGAAAACGTCTCTAGTTATTACGAGATAGGATTATTATTGAAATGGGGAATTTTTACTTTATCAGGTATTCCATTAGGGATAGCATTCTTTTGACTTACTACGCCATACTTCGTGACTTGGACGAAATCAATTGATTATTATGATTTAAAATATCTTCCTTTAGCTGTCGATCGTAGGTTTATGTCGATTCATTACGATAAAAAATTCAGAAAATTCTAATAAATATAAAGAATTAAATCTATTGATTCAAATTAAATATTCGTTGATTGGAGTTCTTGGATTCCCCCCCCCCCTTTTTTTTTATAAAATCCATAACCTGCTTATTTAAATAGATGTGAAAAAAATATTTGATTCATTTTCTTTCTTCAAAATATTGATTGCATTCATAATCAGTTTCCTCAATCAAAATTTATCACTTTACGATATTAATTAGTCGTTTCTGATTCCCTGATTAGTTTTGATTCTCAGTCATCTCTTATTCATTTTAAGACTCATTTCATTTTAAAATAGACATGGAGAAGAGAAATTCAAACGATAAAAAATCTTACTCTAATTTCCTTCATTTCTTTCCTGTGAAAGAATTATTATTTGGATTCTCTAACAGTACCGTGCTCTTATTATATTTCCTTGCAGTGAATAAGTTGTCATTTAGCTGGAAGAATTTAATTTAACCAAAATTTCCCGTGAATAAAGTTGGAAATTTAAGCAAACAAGCAATCAGAAGCTATAATTAATTGAAGTTTGTGGTGATATTCCAAACGATTAAGTACATTGTAAGTGGTAAAGAGTTCATGATCTTAGTTAGGGTTGTGGCACTGCTTTAGTAATAGGGCTATTAGGAAAGAATTTTTAAAATTCTATTTAGATTCTATTAAACTTCTATTAAACTTTAAAATTCTTTTCAATTTAATTAAATAAATAAATTGAATTAAATTAAAACTTAAGTTATAAATTTTGTTCGATATTAAAGTTTTTCCGAGTATGAACACAACAATAAGCCAACTTCGAAATTTAAACTTAAATTATTATTTGTAAATGAACTTAATCTCACTGCTCGAACAATGAACTAACACTAATGTATAATGGTGCGCGGCTTGCAACGAGTACAAACTGTGATAAACAAATAAAAAGAGGCCTGATCTCGACCGCCAAAAAAGCGAGCGCTTTCTAAACCTAGCAACCATGTCAACGAAAACAAACTTTTTATTCCTAACACAGCAGAGTTATTTAATATCATTATTATCTTATGAAATACAGGAAACTCAGAAATAATTTAATTTATTTCTTTAAAAACAAAATTATCTGTTTGGAAATATCGTCTCACAGAATAAGCTGTAGTAAGCAGCTGCATACTTTCCAACCAGAACTAAAGCAGATCTATCAATCAATCAATCGACTTCATCAATTTCAAGTTGATGTTTGATGCAAGGCCATTTCAAGGCTGCCCACGGGCTTTATTATTGCGCAATTGCATCACGCAAGTCTGGTGATAAAATTATTATCTTTTCGGATTAAGCCGGTCTGGGTTTTTGATAAAATAATTATCTTTTCGGATTTAGCCGGTCCACGTTTTTGATAAAGTCTTTATCACTGCGTATTAAGCTTCTACATTATCCTAGAACATCCATAATCTGCGTTATTATCAGAATTTGTTACATTTAATTGAATAAATATTTACAGTTATTGTTCTCTTTACCCTTACCGGCTGTTTCTTAAAATTGTCCGATTTTCACGTGTCAGACTTAGTTGTAAGTAAATTTTCAATTTCTTTCGTTTTTATATGTTTTATTTGTTTATATTTATAAAAGTGAAAAAGCCTTGTTTTTAGATAAACTCATCTTAGGTTAAATTAGATAACATAATTCTATAATTTGGTAATTATTTCTGTAAAAGCAAAAGATGTTCAAAATTCATTATTTCGGGAATGTATCTAAAAAAAAATGTATGGAATTTTTGGAGCAGAAATATATTTTTATTTTTGGTACCTTTGAGTGCATTGAAATACTATATTTTACTGCACTCAATGGCACTTTTCCAAAAGTGTCCTTGAGTGCAATTATTATTAGTGCTCAGATTGCTTGAGAAAAGATTTCTGCATGGTAATCTGCAAATAAATAATCTGTAAGTCTTTGCGACTTCCAAGCAGCCTGCATGAGAATATAAAATAAAACCATCGCGGAAGGGGATCAACTCCAAGGGTATTGCTTGTGGGAGCTGGGAGGAGCCACCCGTGGACAAACCTTTGTATGTTTTTGATTAATAATATTTTAAAATTCGTTTGGTGCCTGACCGATTGTAGTTGACACGACAGATCACAATATGGAAATATCCCCTTTGTTTGTGAATCTGTAGGAATGGATATTATTTTTCGAATGGATATAATTCGCAAAAATAAGTAATGAAAATATACGGAAAACATTTCTGACTGGTCAAGACAGCTTTATAGTTATAAGTATAAAACTGTTTCGATTATTCAGAAATGTGTGCCGTATTATTTCATTACTTATTTTTGCGAATTATTTTATAATATGTGTTATATAGGAGGTATTTCATTAGAGTTATCTATTTGTGTTAACTTCATTTGCCAGGGCACCCATGCAATTTTAAAATTTCAGAAATCAAAAAAATAATAAAGAGGGGGGCTCGAAGGTATACCCTTCGAATTGGTCTCCTTTAACTTTTTTTAAAAAGTTTCTTGTGGGGGGGGGGCAATCGAAGTCTATTGTTTTGGTCTAGCTACCAGTATAGAAATATCCACATCCGATAAATTTATTGATTGTGTTTTAGAAAACATTATTTTTATAATTGAGATATGAGAAGATTGGTGTACCCTCTATGGTTTTTAAAAACCCATTTTACATCAATTTTGCATTTTTTTAAATAATTAAAATTATTTTGTTTACTGTAAAATTTGTTTAACTACTTCTTTTATTTTAAGTATTTTTATTATTGTTTGTTTGTTTTGTACTGCAAATATTTTTGTCCTTTTAAAAGTTCTGTGAGTAGTAACTATAATGGTAAATGTGCCAGTAGGTTATCGGCGTAAATTAAATAATTGAAGTAAATGGATTTTCTGTTGGTTATGGCAGAGATCAAAAAAGTAATGTAAGATGTCTGATAGAAGCGGAATGAAGAAAACAGGATCATGAACATAGCAACAAAAAAAAAAAAAATTCAATCAAACCTCGAGGTGTAAAATAAAAAGAATATATTATACGCTTGACATTTCAAGCTTCCACTTAATATTGATATCAATAGTGTTCCTTTTGTAGTTTATACTTTTCTGATTAGGTTGTCATTTTTTCCAGTGTTATTGAATCACTTACAGCATCCATATGATGGGGAAGTTTATCTTGTAAAATTTCTATAACTTATTGCGATTTCATACTTACTACTTTATTGTGCTAGTTGAAAAGCGTTTTAAACTTATTCTTTTATTCATTCTGATATAATAAACTTTCCCTGGAAAGTTTTTATAGAAGAAAGTATTTTTTATTTTTTTGCTATGCTATTTTACAACACTATTTACTAAACAGCACATTAATTATTTCACAAAATATTAAATACTCTGAATGAATGAAATAATATTTTTAATGATGCAAACTGTCAATTTAAGTTAACTGCCCTTTTTGTGTTTAAGTAACTTCTTTATTTATAATACATTATTAATATTTAATTTTAAATTTTATCATAGTTAATTTTATAATTATAAGAAGTTTAAAATTATGCTATGTAATTTGAATCAACTTCACTTTTTTGCTAATTTTTTCCATTTCTACCTCTTTTTCTTAGTATTTTTCACGTTTGTCACAGCCCTGGTAAAAATTGATTTTGTCCAGTAAAAACCCAACCCTGTATGGTTGTATGCAATTTAAAGGATTTTAAACCAAATGTAGACAGAATTTTTATTTTTATTTTGAGACTGAAAAAAATTTGTATGAAAAGTTAAAATTTTTAGTGCTTGTTTGCAAAAAAATTTGCCACTGTAACACTGCTGATAGTTTTCTTAAATTAATTCAGTCTTAGTCAGATATGCATAATATATACGAACCGGCGAATGGTATTCGTGAAAAATTTATTAATAATACTCATTACTTATAAAAGACATATGAAATTATGATGTTATATACAGACGTATATCACTCTCTTTCTTATAGGGTAAGTATGTAATTTGATTATAGTATTTTTTAGTCATAAAATATATTGAAACAATACAGTTTTAATACTCTTTATTTTTGTACTATTATATATTGAAAAATAGGTAACACAAGAAAGCAAGGTGATTTAAGTGTAGAAGAATTGAGAAGTGATTATTAGAAACATTTTGAGCAAACGTTTCTATTACAAAGAAAGTCAAGCATAAACGAAAACATAAGGAATCATTCATTCGTTTTATATCTTCTTAAAACTGCTAATTTTAAAGAAATGTATGCTGATATGCATTGTATATATCAATATATATATTTTTTAATTAAAACATTTTTAAAAATGCTTTTTAAACAAATTTCTTTAAAATTAGGTGGTGCTAAAAAGGTTAAAGCTTGTTAGAAGACTTTATAAATTGCTTGCAGAAAGTTTTTGAATTGAGATTTTATGTTTATAGATTAGTTTTTTCATTTTATCTAAGTCTGGTCTTAGTGTTATATTGTAATGTATTGTTCACCAACAGTCTATTTTAAATATGTATTATTTAATTCTGAATCTGATGTTCATTATTCATAGTTTGAAATGGTTCATTCAAGTAAAGCCAGATCTAGAGGTTCTTCTTCAAGCATTGAGTTCCTCCCACCTGATTTACCTAGTAAATGTACTTGGCATTTGGATGTGTCTGAAAAATCGGTACATAATCATACCTCCAGGTAAATTTCAGTTTATTTAAGAATATTTTTTATTTAAACATATTTCTTAGTTTTATTGAAATTTTACAAGAATAATGAGTTAAGATACATTTAAAAGTTTTTATATGATGAAACAAGTAATTTCCTTCCATGAACAATAATAATTTGTATAGTATTGTTTATTCATCCATATGATTGAGACAGAACTGACTTTATAAAAATCATGATACTCAGATAATCAAAACAATTTTATTCATTATTATCAAAGTTTCACAGGGGATTGATCGTAAGACACAGTTCCTAGTAGACCACTGAAATCAAGTATCACTTTCAGCAGTCAGTGAGTGGGTGGAGCAGTCAGTGATCACTCTGATCAGCCCCAAAAGATTGAAGATGCACAATAATTGTCCTCATTAAACTGTTCTGCAGTAAATCAAGCAGTTAGACTACCAAAACAGAAGAGCTATTATTTCTGTAGAGTATTCTGTACGATGGTATGTCTTCTGATCATCCTCAGGGAACATTGCCAATAGCTCATTGTGCAGCTTTTATCTTACGTAAATAAAGTACTACTATTACTGCATTATTATTAAAGCTGCTCACATGGCTATATATATATTTTTTTATCTGTACTAAATTGTTATCTGCATCTAACAAATTTGTCTCTACATTGCTATCTGATATACACTACCTTTGATATTGGTTATAAACAAAGTCTGTGAATAAAAGGTTTGCTGAATGTTACTTTAGCACATATTGTGAAGAGTTTTCAAATGTTTGGGACTTTTCTGTATCTGTCCTTGATTGTGCTTGTTACAACAGCCAAAATTTTGTTTAATTGATTGCTGGTTGTGCCAATTATAATTGCCAAGAGGTCAATACCCGACTTTTGAAGTCATAACAATTTAAATATTTATATTAATATTATAACTTGTATAAAAATGGCTACAAGATTTATTCTTCTGTGTTTTTAGTTCCTTGTATGCCACTGTCTGGTTGTTGCCAAAATGTAGAAACAATTTTTGCAAAAGATCCAATACAAATATTCTTTCCTAAATGTTAACAAAAAGAAAACAAAATTGAGAATTGAACTTGGAGAACTGATATAGGAAAAATGTTATAATAAGCAAGTATCTATAGTATATTATCAAAATACTGTTGTGAACAGAAGAGTTAAAAAAAAAAAAAAGCAAATTCATAGTACACTTGTCTTCATATTTCATATAAAAATTGTAAGTGTGTTTACAATCAGGATTAATTTTTTCAATATCTATGTATATTTAGAACTTTTAAGCCTGAAAGCCCCAAAATCCTCCCTAATGTTTTGCATGCAATTGGAAATACTCCTATGATAAAATTGAATCATATACCTCAGGAATATGGATTGAAATGTGAATTATGTAAGTAAAATTTCAATCATTTATTTTTTTTCTTTCTGTTCAAAGTGCAATATTTTACATGAAACTTTTTATTCTGCAGTAGCAAAATGTGAGTTCTTTAATGCTGGAGGAAGTGTAAAGGATAGAATCGCTGTGCGCATGATTGCAGAAGCTGAAAGAGAAAAGAAAATCTCTTCTGGTGCAACTTTGATTGAACCAACTTCAGGCAACACTGGTATATCGTCTTTTATATTTGTTAATTTTTAGAGAGACTGTGGAATATTTTTGTATAAGTTTTGAGATTACTAGATTAACAATTGCACATTCTCAATTTTATATTTAGAAATTAGGAAGCATTCTTCTTATATTCATTCTTTTTTAATTAAAAAATAATGTTTCCTTATTTCTATAAAAAAATTATGTTGCAAAATTAAGTTATATAAATGTTTATAAACATAGCACATTTAAATTTTTCTTTCTGTAATAGTAAATTAAAAAATTAAATTGAAATTTATTATTTTTCTAATATGTATAAGACTAATTATATGAAATTGTAATAATTTTATTTCATAGATGTTAAAAAAATGTTGAATTCAGGAATGAGTGTTTTGATTCTTGAATTCTTTACAATCCTGAAATTTATCAACCAGATATAGTAAAAGTCATCAAATCAAATGAAATAAGGTATGGACACTTTTTTTGATCAGAGGATTACAACCCCACCAAGCTATTAACCTCCTTCAATAAACCAGGAGGCATTAGAAAGCAAAGACGATTTTCACTCAGATGGTTTTTTGATGACATTGAAAAGATTTAAAAACATTAAAATAACTACTAAAATTGGAAAAAACAATCATCTGTCACAACCGGAGGAGAAAACTTGTTTTGATGGCCTTGGTTTTTGATCTGTAGTGCCAAGAACAAAAGAAAAATGATTTTTTACTTCTTTTAAAATTATTTTCTTATTTTTTTTGTTATGTTTATGAGTATGTTAAACTGCCAAAAATTTTTTTAGCTTGCAATTTTGAAATTGCATAGAAACTGATAAAACAAAAGTTTAAATGCATGAATTGATAATGACTAAGTTCAAATGTTTAACCTATTATTTTTTGTATATTTTTATGTTTTGTAGTTTGTATATTTTATTTTTAATTATTTGTATAATAACTAGGTAACTGGAGTTTTTAATGGTATTGTTGATATTTTTATTAATAGCTTCATTTTCATATCATAACATAATCATAATCTCATTGCATAATCTTATTTTTTAAATTAAAACTTTGTTATTGATATTCTTTTTTTCTAAGATAGTCCCATAGTGGACTGATCGTAAAGACAATAAAGATCCCAGTAAAACACCAAAGTCGAGCATCACTGGCTGCAGTCAGGGATGTTTCCCAGACCGTCGCCAATAGCCCATTGTGCAGCTCTAGTGCGACATGAAGTACCTACCTATTCCAAAATAATTAAAAAAAAAAATTTTCAAATGCAATATTTTCTGGCTTTTACATTTCTTAGTGTTAATCCTCTTGTTAATGTTTAAAAAACTTGTAAGTTAATACAGCAGGTTGTAGTATAAAATTTATGATTTATTTTTATTCCATGACACAGTATTTTAATTAAAATAATTACAAGTTCATACATTTCTATGCTCAACACACAAAATAATGTTTTTCATTGTTTTTCAGCGCATTTTAACTTTTGAAAAATTTTTGCACACAATTATAAAAGTGGTTTATCCAAAGATAATTCCATGCAAAAAATAACTTTTAGTAAATATTTATTTTATTATCTTAATTCATTTAATAATGGTAGAAAAAATTTTGAATTTTAAGGTACACAATTTTTTTGCATAATTTTAAGTAATATAATTTTACAAGGCAAAATACAAAATTTGAGCAAAAGCAGTTGAATAGTTCCTGAAAAATGGAATTTTAAATATCTGAAAGTTTTGAAATTCAATTTCTCATGAACCATGCAACTAATTTTGCTCAAATTTTGTATTGTGTACGTAAAATTACATTCTTTAAAATTATTAAAAAAAATTTTATATCTTAAAATTCAAAATTTTTTCTACCATTAATAAATAAAGTAATAAATATTTTTTAAATTTATTTTTTGCATGGATTTATCTCTAGATATATGAAATTTATAATTGTGTGCAAAAATTTTCAACTCTGTTAAAAAGTTTTGGAGATACAGCAAAATGCGCAAAAAGTAAAATTAACATTAAGGAGTCCAAAAGTTTGGAGCACTCCTGACCAAACTATTGGGAACACATTTCCCAGATTGTGATTACCCCTTAAATTTTTGAGGTCAGAATTCCGAGTTCATTGAAAAAAGGCATGCTAATTCAGAGAAAGTATGTTTTTGTCTCTGATTTTGTAACTTAAGATATCGTCTGTGCAAATTGATTAGCAAATTTGAGGTCTCTCCCTTAAACCATTAAGGTTGAGTCCTGGAACTTGAAGATCCGCTCATTAGATCAAAAGTTGTTCAGGGAGGTTCATTATTTTTTTTTGGCGCACTGTACATAATAACAAAGATTATTTTGGGGGAAACAAATGCAAACTCCCCCCAAAATATTTCCTTATTTTTGCCAAAAAAGAGTGAGTAAAGAAATTTGATCCATAGGTGATTGGTTTATATTATTAATGAATTTTTCACACACATACATCAATTCATTGTGTAACTCAGTTTTTTGCTTGTAGGAATTGGATTAGCTCTGGCAGCTGCAGTTAAGGGATATAAATGTACTATAGTAATGCCCGAAAAGATGAGCAATGAAAAAGTGTCTGTTTTGCGAGCTCTTGGAGCGGAAATCATCCGAACACCCACTAATGCACGTTATGATGCCCCAGAATCTCATATTAGTGTTGCACAAAAAGTCAACACTCAAATTCCAAATAGCATCATTTTGGATCAGGCAAGAAATTTTTAATTAAACTTCAATTCAATTTATAATCGATTTTAGAGATTCCTGTTTTGTTTCCTTGTAAATTTATTCTTCTCGCAATTTTTCCATAATAATATTTAAAATTTCAATTTTTAGCTGTAGTCTTTACAAAGAATGAATATGAAGATTTTATTTTTGTATAAAAACCATTTTAATTATGCCTTATATGTAAAAGTTTTTTTTTTCTCCATTCAATATAGTGGTTATTATTTGTGTTTAAATAAAAAGCTTTTAAAGTATATTTTCTTTCACTTTTATTCATATTTGTTAGATGTCTGATGTGTATTGTTATTAATTGTTTATAAAAATTTTAATTCTGCAGCTTGATTTCTGTTGTGACATTTACAGGAAATAACAATCAGCATAATTTTTTTTAAAATTAGATTTAAATGAAAAAAATTTATTAAATAATTTTCAGAGATTTTTGTCTTGCTTTGAGTATAAAGCATGTGTTCTTTCTCAAACATTTCCTGTTTTTAATATTTTTAAATTTACATAAATTTATTATATTGTCAGCAATTAAACTTATAAATATATATTTTAGTTTTGTATTACAGAAAAAGGGAGTTAAATTTTTTTACTTTACTTTCAAGCCTTTTTTTTAAAAAAAAACTGATTTGTTATGCATCTTCACCCATTTTTGGCTTTTTTTTTCCATCACCAACGACTTTTGGTTCAATTTCATTGGCAGTACTTTCGTGCCTTGCCATAGCTTGGTCAAATATTATAACTCTATTAAATTAAAATTTTGTGTGTAAAAAAAGACATTATTTAACACAAAATTGCAGTTTATAAAGCAAAAATACTGTAGATATATATCATATCATTACCCCTAGATAAGTTTTCTAATGAATCTGCACATATTTTTTGTAAATATTTGCAACAAATGCTTTTTTTAATATTTCAAAAAATTTACAATTCAAAAAATACTTTAGTTCTTTATCAAACCATTCCCCACTGGCAGCAGTTTTATGCATTTGCTCCAATTTTTGGGTAAATTTTATGCAACAAACACTTTTTAACGTTCATAAGTAAAAAGTACTGTAGATCTATAATGGATCATTACTATATTAAACAGCATAAAAAACACAAATAATGCCAGATAAAATGTTCATGTGCTAAAATTCTAAAAGCCTGGAAAATCATAAATAATTTATAAAGATTCAAATTTTTTTTCAAAAGAGATTTCAAAAAGAAAACTTTATTTTTTGATCAGAAATCAGCTCAAAAAACGTTTATTTCCTAGAAACTTCGATATTTTTCTATTAACTATTAATAAATAAACTTCTTTGAACAATCACAAAATATTATTTCATTCTTTGTTATTTGTCTGAACTTAGTTGCTTAGCAACAGAATTATAACTTAGTTAAATCACATATTATTGCAATAAAATATTAAAACTGTTAGTAAAATAATTAGTAATTTTAATATGTTGTTTCACACTTCTCATTATTATATTTGATTTCTTTATAGTATCGGAATCCTGGTAACCCTCTCGCACATTATGATGATACTGCAGAAGAAATACTTTATCAGTGTGATAATCGTATTGATATGCTGGTCATTGGAGCTGGAACTGGTGGCACCATTACTGGAATTGGCCGTAAAATAAAGGAAAAATGTCCTGGTTGCAAGGTTATCTACCTGTTTACTTGCTATATATATAAATTTCCTGCAATGCTTCTTAACCCACTAGCGATTTAGAAAAAGGGCAAAATTGAGAGAATGTTTCTTCCCAAGACACTATTTCTCTATCTAATAACATTGAAAAACCGGTTTTGCTATGGGAAGAAGACTGCAGGTTAAAAAAAGTTTTTTTTTCATGCAGAATCGTCAGTGGGTTATGAATCTGAATAACATCAACATCACAAATTTCTGAGTATCATTTGAAAGCATTATTACGGTATTAGATGGTGTAATCTTCTTAAAAAAAATATGTCATTAAGAATTTAAAAAAAGACAGGCAATAAGACAATGTTTTTGAAAATAATAAAAAGACATTTAAAAAAATAAGAAATATTACAGTAAATTGCAAGTTGAGAGATTTTTTTTATACCAATTCAAATAAAGTATGTTTTAATTTTTTTTTTAATAAATATAATGCATGTTTACTTATTCTTTCTGAAATGTTTCACTCATATCAGTAGTTTTTATTTATCTATACTATAATTAACATTAATAGAATTATCTAATTTTTAAAAGAGTGTGAGATATAAAATATATAATTAAAGAGATGGTTATTTACATTTTCTGGATTCATGTAATAAATAAAATAATCTTTGCCATCTAATGTAAGTTTTGCCCTTTTTTTTTGTTTCAGCATTCAGCCTCACTTAATAATTCTATTGAAATCAAAACCTTTACTGGTCAACTCAAACTCAATAGATACACCATAAAGATTTTTAGTAATGCAGTACCTTTTTTTTTTTAAAAAAAAATTCATCTATAACAAAGCAAATTTCTATGCTATGTTAAGAAAAAGTTTTCTTTTAACCCTTTAAAAATTCTGGACTATTTTAAGCTTAGGTTCCTGAAAAAATCACCAATTTTTTATTGCTGCCAGTAATTCTTTGTTATTTGTTATGACAAGAACTATTTGTATTGGTGTAATAGTTACCATGTATAATAATATTTAATTTTATGGTAACTTATTTTAAAGTCAGAATTATATGGGTAGATCATTTTTAACAAAATCAAATTTTCAGACAAAAGTTTCAATCAAACAGAAAGTTTTATAAATGAATGCATGCTAATTGTGCTAAGAGAGCAATTTCTCTGATCCATATTATAATCAAAGGTCTCATTCATAAATGCTAATCTTAAGACATAAATTAATATGCATTTTATAGTTATTGCCAAAATGTTCAGTACAAAATCTAAATCAAAAGCCCCAGTTGGTTCAATTACAGATTTTTGCAGTCTTTTTTATTTAATAAAACTGAGATTTAAAACGTGAGAAACAAATTTTTCTTTTATTGTTTCCGTTACAAATTTCCAAGGTTTTAATGATATGAAGACGGAAAATAGTTTTTCCATAAAAGGAGCTTGGACGTGAGAAGAACAAAATATAACGTAAATAGATACAACATATAAATCAGTTAGTACTTCAGATGTTAATGATTGTTAATGAATGTTTTGTTATTAAACATATTTTCTACCTAGAAAAGTCAAGTTCAAAAATGGACAAAAATCACTAAAAAAAATTTACTAATTTGTCACACAAACTTGGAAAAGTTAAGATGGCAAATGCTATGGGGGCAATTTTGTGTGGTGCCCCATATTTGTTTTGTCTTTAGAATCGCCCTTACATACTGCAATATTGGGTAGAAATTATCTTAAGATACACATAGAAAACTAGAAAAATCTGGCAATTTTATTTTTCTGCATAAATAGTGATTTAAAGAAACAAATATGTAAAGAAGTATTTATTCATTATTGTACTATTTAATATTTATTCATTGCACACTGATATTATTCTTTTAAATTGAAATATATTAATTAATCAAAAAAATTCTGCTTCTTATTTCTGTTTTTTGAGTTACTATAATGCTTTCGTTCATTACTATATAATTTTAGATTGTCGGTGTTGATCCGTATGGATCCATATTAGCTGAGCCAGAATCCTTAAATTCATCTGATCAAACATCATATCAAGTTGAAGGCATTGGATATGACTTTATTCCTACAGTTCTGGATCGTTCTGTAAGAATATGCATTTATTTTTCTTAGATTTAGGAGGAACAATTAAGATTTTATTGTTTTCAGATTTTTTAAACTGTTTTTGGAAGACAAGTTAATAGAACTTGTTAGATATCATTACTTGTTTCAGGAATGTTTTAGTTAAAATGAATTTATTTTAGTTTAAAATTTTAGCATATATAAGTATAACTATTTTTTAAGAAAATTGTGTTTATTAAATTAATGAAATGTAAAATTTATTGTATTAAAAAAATCAATGCATTCATTGAATTGTCATTTTATGTTCCAAATCTTTGATTTGCTTCTTGCCATTTTGATTTTTTAATTATGTAAAAAAAGATTCATGGCATTTCTATTTGCTAGATTGAAAAAATTGTTCGTTTTAAAACTATCTTCAATAGTGCCACTACCCCGCCCCCTTGTTCCACTAGTCTCCTCTGGGTAGTTTAAATTTACTAGCAAGATTTGTGTAATAGAGTGTTCAAATCACATTCCACATAATCTTTTCTAAGCATTTGGGCTTAAAAATAATTGTTTTGTACTGTCAAGGAAACTTAATAATAATTATAAATATTTGTAATTAATGAAAAATTGATATCAGTAGTCAAAATCTCTCACTTTTTATAGATATTATTTAATATTAATTTTCAAACTCTTTCTGTTATTTAAAGTGAAGAATGCTTTGATGAATTTTAATGAACAGCTTTGTTTTTAATGAAAAGAAATTGAAAAGAAAAATAAGATGCATGAGCATTTCGCTTTTTAAAGTGATTTTGTTTATGCCTTCTTTTCTTACTATTAGGTAGTTGACAAATGGATCAAATCAGAGGATAAAGATTCTTTTCATATGTCAAGATTGCTGATTAAGAAAGAAGGACTGTTATGCGGTAAACAATGATAATTTCAATGTCTATTTATACTTTTATGTTTGGTATATACAGCGTTTTTAAAAAATGTTTAATTTTGATTTATGTTTTTTAAAAGCCCTTAAAGGTGTTTTTTTATTTGGGGTTTGTAAAAATTAAATTTTGTCACGCTATTTTTTAACGAAGATTTAATGAGCAAAAAAGCCAGTATATGTCAGGGTGCGTAGCATTTGTAAAAAGTACTTAAAGATGCTTTTTTGGGGATTTCGTTTTTAAAAGCTTTTAAAGGTGCTTTTTTCAGCCGGCGTTTTTAAAAAGTGCTTTTTTTCCGAATAATATTTTTTCTTCCCTTCAGTGATATCTGGTGGATCCCATGCATTTCACGAAAAATGGGGAGTTTGCTACGTAATCATTCACGCGAACTTCATGTCGTACCCACGTTATGACTTGCGCATGCGCGCACACTTGAAACCGAAACCAGAGTGCTCCAATTCGGATAGAGAATATCAGATTCTTGTGAAATGTTTTTCTTTTTAATTTATTTTAATTTTGTTCTTGTTTATTTTATTTTACTTCTAACTCTTTTTTTGACGTAGGGGGTAAGGGTCAAGTTGAATTCACTCGGTGATGTGGGAAAGTACTGATTGTTTCGATTTACGCCGTTTCTTTCTTCTTTTTTTTTTTAATGCTAAAACTGTTTATAAAAAGTTTTTGTTTTCAATAATATCATTGATTGAATATGAGATTTTTTGAGTGCTTGAAAAGTTTTTAAAAAGTGCTTATTTTTGATTCAAAGATTTGGCTACGTACAATACAATGGAACGTCAAGCAAAAAAAGCAAAGACAGGGCTGCCATTGGCGACTAAAAAGGCTACTAAAGTGACTATTTTAAAGCAGTAGCAACTAGGGCGACTATTTTAGTAGAAATATGAGTAAAAACAACTAATTTGCAATGAGTTGCATAAAATCGGCGACTTTTTAAGCCAATTAGCGACTAAAATTAAGAATAACTTCTTGAGTTTCCCTCTTCCCCCACTTTTTTTTTTGCCGCGCATTTTCGTTTTATCCAAACTTTATTCTTCCTTACTGATGTCAAAGGCAAGACAGACATGTTTAACCAATCAGACTAATGGAATTAGAATTTGTCTTCTCTTGGAATTGGAATTTGTCTCACTTTGTCTTCTCTTCTTATAGAAAAAACAAAAGCATTAACAAACAAAAAAGTGTGTTTCGAAAGGAAATTTTCTGATGCTGAGATAAGAGCTGCAAAGCAAAGTACTAAATTGGATTTACATATAACAGATAAATAAAAAAAATTTATTGAAGTTTCAGTTTCTTATTTTGTGTTCAGTTTCTTATTATACAAGTATGTATTTATGTACCTTTTTAGGTCAATCTTAAACTCAAATTTTATCTTTTTTTAAACAGAACAGTTTGGGAATATGAATTATTAAGATAATTATATAATTAATTAATTCTTATTAATTTTTAATTTATAGTACCATTAAAATAAACATTAAATCTTTAATATTAAAATTATGAGGTAAAACTTTATTATTACTGAGGATTACTGAAAATCCTTATAAGTTATATGTGATTATTACTGAAATCATAATTTTCAAGTTGGCATCTCTGCTGTGTTATAAGTTTGATATATAATAGTTTTATTATTTAAATTTAATTTGTTTATGATATTAATCCTGTTAAACTTGTTGTAGTCGTAAATTGTGTAAAAAAAAGTGCATTTTTTGCAGGTGGCAGTAGTGGAAGTGCAGTGAGTGCAGCTGTTAAAGTTGCACAGGAATTAAAAGAAGGCCAAAGATGTGTAGTTATTTTGCCAGACGGAGTTCGAAATTACATGACTAAGTTTCTCTCTGATAGCTGGATGACAGAACAAGAATTCATTAATATTGATTTGGAGATGAGTGCTAAACATTGGTAAGCTATTTGAAAAAGTAATTACCTTATTATAATGCATGCTTTGATTTGAGATACTTTGTAATTATTGAAGTAATAATGAATGATTGATAAAATATTGAGCAAAATATTCTTTTTTATTTTGTGTCTGAAAACATTGTTCAATTAATTTTGTTATATTATTCTCTTTATTTGACAATGATGATGTTAAAGTATATTAAAACTAAACTGATATTGCACTTTGGTATTTAATTGTGCAGTTTAAAACTATATTTTAAAAAAAAATTTGTTTATGAAATCACAAAGCAATATGAAATGAAGGTATGAGAAAAAATATTTGCTACTGTGATTGTGTAAAAAAAATTATTGGTATAGATACATTACAGATTTTGACCAAAAAGTATGTTTATTTTAAAAATTTATTTCTTAAAGTTGTAAACTAAAAGTCTTTAAGCTGGTTAAGAGGCTCAAGTTTATTTTATCTCGCTCTTGTATGCACGTAAAATGGGATTTTAAGATGATGCATTGTGGATTTCAATTCATATTTAAGAATGGATCTATAAACGAAACTAACGTTAAGGATTAATTTTGAATTGGTTTTTTAGTTAGACATTAATTTGTATGTGTTCAGAGTATCATAATTAAAAAGAAAAACAGCATATTTTAATGAAGTATATTTTCTTCCTTTGTTGACCTTGATTATACATTATTAATAATTTAATGAATCTTTACCTACTGTTATAGTTTCTATAAAACTATAGATAAACACTGAATTTTTGATTCTTATATTAATTTTTCCTCTTTCTTTGATCTAAAATTATTTTAGCATAAATGTTACACTATTCTTTTTTAATTTGTACTTAAATTTATTTTACAAACTTGGTTGAATAAGAAAAAAAAAATATTGAGAATTAAAAACAAATTTATTAGTAATCATTACTGTAAAAAGAAAAGAAAAAAAACGATTATTCAGAATGTTTTTGCAGTTTTTAAAAAAATCTTTATGGAAATTAAATGAACTGTAATGGTGAATTAGAGAAAGCTCTAAGTTGTCTTGAAAAACCATTGTCTATTCCCAGTTGCTTTAAGCCCAACCAGCTTCAGAACAGTGAGTGTTGTGCAATGTAAACACTGCCAACACGCAATGCTGATTGTATTGCCATTGTTATATCAGTGGTCTGAAAGTTTAATAAACTGTAATAAATAAAATAATTTTTCTGAAAGTTAGGTACAATACAAAATTTTATTTATAAGTTTAATATTTTTTTTAATGTTTTTAGAGTTATATTTTAAAAATAAATCCTAAGTTCTTTCCACATTTTTTGAAAGAGCCTTTTGCAAATTTTTTTATATTGTTGTTGTAAATAGTTTGTGTATTTTTTTATTATTTCAATCAGTTTTTCTTGGGCTAGCAAATTTATTTATTTTACAGTGCTAAATTTTGGTAAGTATGCAATTCAGTTTTTATTTTCTTAAAGTTTTATAACTGTAAATGTAAACTCATCATTTATGGTAACGATATCTGGCTAAATACTCATATTTGTTTTTTTTATTACAGTCTACTCACAATATTACAAACACTGTTGTTCAAAGGAAAACAGATATTGTAATGTGAGGTTGTTATGTTGTATCGTAAGTGCACAAAAATAACATACAAAAATTTTACTGATGGCTAAATTTTGGGCTTTTTTTAACAAGACAATGCTGAACTTACTTAAGAATTAGAGAACTAAAAATTAAATGACAATACTGCTTCTTGTTTTTTTTTTATTTTTTTTTTTTAAGTTTTTAAAATTTTTTTATTGGGTGAATAAAAATACCCTTTAAAATAATACATGGTGTGTGAAAAAGACATTAAAAATACCATGCTGCTTCAGGCAGCCATTTTCTTTTAGTAACATATGTGCAATTAAATATAAAGACAGCATGTTTTTTAAACTGGAAAATAAACCACCAAAGTGAACTTACATTTCACAAGTAGAGTGTATAAAATTTTCACTCTCATTTATAACTCATTTGTGTTCAATAAAAAACAATATTTCCATTCATTGTCATTATTATGGAAAATTTTATGACTCAAAACTTTTTGCTTGTTTAGAATGGAAATTGAGATAGGTCTTAGAATGGTGGTATTTATACTCTTAGAGAATTAGTACAATTTATAAAGTAAGAGTAACACACTGAAGCAAGTAAAAAATTTTCTTCAAGAGTTTTAATTACCTAAATTTTCTTTCTGTTGCTCAATTAGGTGAATTAAAATTAATTTATCAAGCCATATAATTTTTTTAAGATAAATTATCTATGAGTTGAAGAAATAATGAGTTTCTCAATAAATTTTGAGAAAAATGACTTGACAAGTATTTTCTTTTTATTGCAAATGTTACGATTTCTAAAATAGAATTTCAGAAACTGATAGAACAAAATCTATTTTTTTTTAACAATAGATAGCTTATACAAAAATGCCAAATATATAAATATCTCAATTAAGAATTTTATTTTGCTTATGTGGATTTTTCTATTGCATAACAGTATACTAAAGCCAATGTGAATGTTTTTTCTTAGCCAAACTAAAATCCTTTAAGTTGTATCTTAGTTAGCCCCTCTTTGTCGCTGACGGTTTCTCCCCCCCTCACTAGTATAGATTTGGTTGGTTCGGATATTTATTTGTATATTTTAAAGTGTTTAAAATATTTTTTTTTTCAAAGTTCATTAGTGATTAGAAATTTAATTCATTCAAACAAAAAGCAAAATGACTAAGACTTAACAGAAATGTCATTTTTTAATTTAATATAATTTATTTATGCTTTATTAATTTATTATAATTATATATTAATATAATTTACTAAGCATTTTTTATTAAAAAATGCTTAAGTATATTAGTTTAGAAATATATCTAGCCAAAGTATACTTTTTATTTTTACATATTTGACTTTATTCATAACTAAACGAATTAAGTATAAGCATGTGCTGTGCATTGTCTTTATTCATTGATTATTATTCAATTGATTTTTATTTTTTATGCTTTTTGATTGATTGATTGTTTAGTGGTAATATTAAAAGATTTTTGCTGCTATATGTTTGTATTAAAAAACTTTCTTAATTAAAAAACTTTCTTAATTAAAAAACTTTCTTAATCAAAAGACATCCTGTTAATTTTTAAGTAAATGTAATTAAAAATTGGAGTTAAGGAGTCTAATTTGTCTGCAAAAAGTTGCCAAATGTGAGTTAATAATTTAAAATATAGTCAAAATTTATGTAGAATTGATTATTGTGAAAATATATATCTTATTGTTTAGTTTATTAATACTTAATTCAATCAGATAAATCATTTATGTGGCAATTGCTGGTATTCTTAATTAATCATTTGCCTGCTTCTCATAAGAAATTAGCAATTTCCTTTTAATGAGTTTGAAAAATCTATTTAATTTAAAATGTTTTTAGTTTATTAAATATTTTGTTTCTTAAAACAGCCTTTTTTTATGGAGTCAGAATTTACCTAAATTTTTTGAATTTTTTCTGCCTTTTTCAGAAAATTAGGTTCCCTGAGTAATATTGAAATAAGTATATATTTTTCCTTTTGCAATATTGTGTATGTACATAATGAATCAGAAATACTATTAATTTGTTTTATCAACTTAATGGCTCCTTTTTATGTTTAATTAAATATCAATACAAAGTAATCATTAAATTTCACCAGATATAGTTATTAGTTAAAAAGTTTAATTTTCAATCAATTGATTTCAAATTAAAATTTAAATATAAGATTGAAAATGAAGATCTGGAGGGGTATTATTTTTAACTGAATGAAAATAATGCATTTGCTTGATGGATTATTTAATATATTTAAGAAAAATATATTTTCTTACTTAAAATTTCATTGGATGAAAATTGATCTTTATTTGTTTGTAAATACATTACTAATTTTGGGTTACTTCTTAGGTGGTGGGATACTAGAGTGAGCAGCCTAAATCTTGCAGAACCTTTAACTATTCTACCACATATGTCTTGCCAAGATGCCATTGAATTAATGAATAAGGAGGGTTATGATCAATTACCTGTTGTTGATGATACTGGGTAAGCCTTGTGTACAAATAAATACACTATTAAAATTTGATCAACAATTATTAAAATAATTTTAAATTGCATCATATTTTTAGAGAGATCAAAGGTATGGTTACTTTAGGAAATCTGATGGCTAAAATTGTTGCTGGAAAAGTATTATCAAGTGCTTTAGTTTCAGAAGTGCTATATACCACTCTCAACAAGGTAAGATTTAAAAGTATATTAAGATAATGGGCAAAATTTAAAGTAATATTTATCATTTCATCAATTTGCTATATCATGTGGAATTATAGTAAAGCTAAAAAGAAATAATATATTTATGTTAGAGAAGACTAAAAAATGAAATAGATACATTTACCTCTTTTTTCCTTTTATTTTGAAATTTTTTTTTTTAATTTTAAACTCTTGTTGAAATTGGTTTTGAGTAGACTTTTTTTTGACTGCTTTGTCTGCAAATTTTAGAATTTAGAAGTTTCTGCAAGATGCCAAAAAATAAGTAAATGAAATTTTAAAGTGCAATTGCTTTTGACCTTATTAATAATAGTGAATTTTGATTTCATACAACAACCAAATTAGCATTCTATTGAAATACTGAGCAGGTTTTTTAAAAATAGCTAAATCTATCTTTTGTCAGGAGGAAGATAATGTGTCAGATGGACGCACGCCTATTGTCTTTATTAATATAAAACTCTTAGATTGTATAAATGAAATTATGTTCATTTTTCACTTTTATGTATTGATTTATTGATTTCTGAAATAAAAATGTGTTTCATTTTGCTAATTTTTTAATTTTTTTTATAATATCCTATAAAAACTGAATGCATTTTCGCAAAGGAAATTTATCTCAATAGCAGAAGGCTAGTAATTTTAAACTGGTTATAAACAACCAATTTTTGCATCTTAAATATTATTAATTATTATAAATATTAAAATTACTTAAAATTATTATTATAAATACTAAACTTACTTAGAAGGTGACTTGGAGACTTGTAATAGCAGCAGGCTTCTCATATTGTACTAGATGTATGTACTTTTTATATAAAGCTTTCAGTGTATTTAATACTTGTGTTGACAGATCACAAGATTTTGTATGAAAAAATTCTTCCTTACAATTTGTGTCAATAAAACAAATAAAGTGGATCAAGTGAAAAAGACCATCATGATACATATTATCATCCAACTGTTTTTGCAGAAAATATATTTTCTCATGACAATAATATAATAAGTACTAAAATAAACTTGTAAAATTTAAAAATTAAAATTGTTGCTAAACTAAGATAATTTAATTTTATTGTTATAAATTACCACTCTTTAATCATAGATATAGTATAATCACCTGCATTTGGCTGGCAAATATATATATATAGTTATTATTAATAAAACTTAATAAATTAATTTTCATTTTTCTCTTTTCTTTTTGTCTTTATCATTTTACTGTGCTATATATATATANAAATTTTCGATATATATATATACAGTAACATCCTATTTAATAGAAACTTTTTTATTCATTGTTTTTTATTCTTAATGTTTTGTTATTGCTTTTTTTTAGAATTGTGTTTTGTTTTAACAAAAAATTTTAAAAAACAAATGTTTTTTATAATTATATCAGCTGTTTATTTTTCTTACATTAAAAAATAAATCTCTACAACAAAGTGTAGGTATATTTTTCTCTTTGTGTTTAAAAATTTTTTTGCCCTCCTGTATGGCTGGGTGGGAGTATAAGGATTAAAATATTCAAACTGTGATGGATTACAATGTTAGATGTAACAGCTAATAAATCATTTAACTTCCTTGTTCTTTCATAAAAAACTGAAGTTTTCAGTTGTATAAAACTTTGCTGACAGTTATTTACAGCACTCTTAACAATTTATCTACTGTTTCCTTTTTACAAAAAAAATTCTCATTTAACATTGTTTTCTCTGATATTTTCTGTACTACAGAGTTGTTGAATAAACGGGTTTACAAATGTTGAGTGATTGTGCGATTCTGTAAAGCATTTGTTTTCATATAATTAAAGTCTTCATTGATGTCTTTTTTTATAGATCACTCTAGATACAACTCTGGGCCGCTTATCTAGGATATTAGAGTCAGGACATTTTGCTCTTATTGTTCACAATCAGAGACAATGTGAGTTATATGTAAATCCATTTTATAATCATATTTCTTTTTCTTTTATAATTATTTATTTTTAAACCTTATACTGTCTTCATCTATAAATATTTTTCTCATAATTTGTAGGGGTGCCAACCACAGTAGAGCCCTGATTAGCTGCAGAATTGGTTGGCAAAAATCCCAAATAATTATAAAAAATTAAGAAGGGAATGAAAAAAATGATTTTAAAATGTATTCATACATCTGTGTGCATTGTTACTTTGTTCCTCTGAATATTAAAGTAATCTGCCTATGTGCTGCAGATCGATTATATGTAATAAATGTTCAATTTCTTTGCAGAACTTGCAATTAAACCGCACAACCAATAATCCACTCACTAATTATTGTTCTACTGTTTCATGATTCATTTGTAATTATTACAATTTGGTAGTCAATACTAGTCTTTTTATTAAGTAATAAAAATTACAATTTTTGAGAATTTCTATAATAATATGTTTAAAATTTCTTTTCTCTTAAATTTTGAGAGTCAAAAAATTTTGTTGTTTACAACTAATCTACGATAATTTTTTCCTACTCCTTAAACAATTCTAAAAAATAAATGAAAAGCAAATACAATTTTATAGAAACAAGAAAAAAAAAATCAAGGATATGTCATCTTTTCCCTTTCCAATTCTAAAACATAGTCTTCTCTCCTTATAGAGAAGTAAAATGACATAATCTAAAATTGGAACAGGATTTTTTGGGCAAAAATTTTTAGTCGTTCAAATACAAGGTGCTAACTCAACCCAAAACTCAAACACTTATTCCAAGTAATCTATTGAGTTTTATCATTTTATAATGAGATAAAAAGTTTGTGTTGTATAATTTTTATTTTTGTATTTTTATCTCAATGTTACTTTAAAAAAAAATTTAAATATCAATTCATGTATAGTAAATTCATTTTATTAATATTACATTATACCTATATAGATATACCTTATATATACCTTATACCTTAAAATTGTGCTAATTTGAATTTCATAAAGGCTAACTGTACATATTTCTGTGTTCTTTTGATTATTGATAGCTAGTTTTGAAAGTTGGCACTTTTGAATTTCTATTTTATTGTAATAATTTAATGATTTCTCTTTATTTATTATTATTTAGGTGGAGACAAAGAAAAAATTGAAACAAAACAGATTGTTATTGGTGTTGTGACTCGGATAGATCTCATCAATTTTATTACAAATGAGGGAGAAAGTAGATCTAAGTCCCATTCATCAGCATCAGCTACTCCATCACTTGAAAGTGATGAATAAAATTAATCATTCATTCAATGATTTAACATTTTGCACATTTGTTTGAAGTTTTATTGCACATTTGTTTAAAATTATTTATTCATGTTTTGATATTGTAAGCCAATTTGCACTATTAAAAATGTAAGTTTCTTTAAAATGTAGAATGTATTCAGAATTAGTTTGGCCCAATAAATTTTCGATCTATTATTTTTTTTCTTCAAATTATTAAATAGCTTTTTCAATCAATTCAGTTTTTTAATTATTAAAATTTTCTTTCTTCTCAAAAGAAAAATATTAGTACATTTTTAATGCAGTTTCTATTTCAAATTTTTTAGTTTCGTATTACAATCAAGTAATTAACTCTTTAATTGTGTTTGAGATTCTTGCTAAAAGATAATTTCTTTGGATGATATTAATCCTTTAAATATTAGTCTTGAACTCTGTTGTAGGATCAATTAGACGCCATCATGGGTAAAAGGATTGATAATTGTATTAATCAAAGTAAATCAGTTTCATTTTTTATTTTTATGTTGAAAAAAAATGCTCTTCGTAAGGTTTTCTAGCGACAAACATATGGAATTCTATTTTGTTCTTAACATCTATCTATGAAAGTGTATTTTTGTTGAATATATTCCTCTATTTTTTCTATTATTTTAGAAATAAGTGTTTGGGCACCAGTCCTTTTATCATTTAATGATCAAGTGATGTAAAGAAAAATAAATTTTATGTTCCATTGTTAAATTTTTCATATATTTTATTAGTAATTTGCATTGTGAATTATGTTTATATGATCAGTTTTTTCCCAACAATCAGGATTTTAAAATTGTATGAAAAATGGCCTTAATTCTATGCTATTTTAGTAGTCTTTTATTTGTATTCTAAATTTAAGTTTTTGTATATTAAGCTTTTTGAAATTAGTTGCGTTTAATTTCTCTCATTGATATTAATAAAATTTATGCCACACAAATTGAGAGTTACGTGTTGAAGTTTTAAAGTTTCTAAGCTTAGTTTTTAATGGAACAAATATTTTTCAAAAAAAAAAAGGATGTAAAGATATCCCACCTTGTTATTCATTTTGTGTTGGTAAATGTTTTTAAAAATGGGAAAAATTGTTCTGCCATCAAAAATGTTTGTTAAAACATGAAGATTTAATTGCTCTAAATATAAAATTCGATATCAACAGTTATTAACTATTGCGTGTAATTTTTATTCAGGAAAAACTAAATCACTTTTCTTAATTTTATGCTAGAATGGTTTTTATTATCTGTCTAAAAATTTATTTCAGTTTTTAAAATTATGATCATGTGATATTTTATGCTATAAAATTTATATTTCTTGTTAGCAGGAAAACAATTGTTATGGTTTTATGCGTTTCAATCTTTGTGATGGTCAAGTGCAGTTCTTAAAAGAAACTTTTTTTAGAAGCTGGTAATGATTAATCCCTATTGATTAATTTTACCTTCTTAATACATATCTGTCTGCATAACGGAAATTTGTTATTTAATTGTCAATCACCAGTTACCAAATGAGGAAAATTCATCATTTGGATAATGCAGAAATGCTGTAGATAGTTAATTATCAAAAAATTGAATTACAGTGCAAACAGTGCTAGACTTATATGTGTTAAAAATAGCTAGCTACAAAGTTGAAAATATGCATCTTTGTTTCAGGATTAGAAATTTTTATTGAATTATCTCAATTATTAACTGAATATTTTGATATTAAATGTAATTTTTAAACTTATCTTTTTCAAGCTTTATCTTTTTTGAATCATAATAATTCTACAATCAAAAATCAGTATATCTATTAAATATTTTAAATTGTTTCAAATTTAAAATTGTTTAAGTAAGTTTTAGAAGGATAAGAAACGTTAGTTCATTTCATTATCCTAAAAAATTTAAACAATTTGTTTCAATGAAATTACTATTAATAGACATAATGCTAACAATTGTAAATGGGAACAACTTATACTTTATGGTGTGTACATTCTTTTTCTTTTTTTGAATCTATAAATAATTTTTGGAAATAATACAATTTACTTTTTGGCAGTATATCCTTTTTTATATTCTTTTCCGTCAAACTTTCAAGGATACTAATATTTTTTATTGAATTAATAACAGTAATCAAATTCAGAATGTTAAATTTAATTTGATCAAACAATGTAGAAATGTACATTTGAACAAATAAATTACAGATGATCAATTTTGTTATCTTTTAAAGAAAGTGTTTTACTATCTGATGCTTGAAACTATAAAATATTAAGGATGTTTTCAAAAAAAAGATGTGATATAATTTTTTTGAATGTTGGACTTATGAAAATAAAGTTTTTTCCTCAAACTTTGCCTTTATTGAACTTAGTTTTTATAGTATTTTAGAACCTCCAATTTATTAAGCAAAATGGATTTTTCTTTATAAGCAAGCCCAAGATATATCTACCTATTGGAAGAACTGAAAAATTGACTGAGACAAAAAATTTTGTTTTTGTAATTTATTAGAATTTGATTTTCAGTATAAGTATTGTTCATACCCACCAGCAAGCTTATATAATATTTAAATATTATATTTTTAATATTTACTACAGTCGTAATGCAGTCAAGCAAAAATTAAGTTAAGCATTAAATTTTCAAATTGAATGAAATTATCAAGTAGAGGACAATATTTTGTATCCATTTATTTTTTTTAAACAAATAGTGAGCTATGTTTAAGACATTTAGGAACGTGAAAAAAGTGTCTCTTTACTCTTCAAATTTTTTTATTATTTTGCTAGTTAATGTATTAAGTAATTTGATATATTTTTAAGCATTTTGTGTTTCACTGAAAATATAATTAAAAGTAACTAAAAAGAAAATGTTTATGAATATGCAGCTAAGCATTTGTAGATAGGAAACAATGCTTAGTGAGAGAAAGCTTCCAAATTCGTCTATATTTTAATACAGCATGTTCTGCCCCATATAATGCAATTTTAATGAAGACTGGGTAATAAGGATAAATTTTAAGTAGCGCTAATAAACTTTTTCTTTTGAAAAAAAAGTTTTGTTTGTTTTAAATATTTTTTTTATTTATACTTTTTCTTCGATTTTGTATAAGGTTAAATGCTTTTTTTAAGCACACTATTAAATAAATACTATTGGTGAAACAGTTTTTTTTCATTTTACTTTTTATTCTGCATTACATACACATATTTTGTAAGTAATTATCTTTCAACTATCAAACATTCAAAGCAATTCAACAAAACATTATAATTATAAGCAATGAAAGAACATTTAACAATAAAAAAAAACATAATAAAAACATTTTTGTAACATAATTCATTCATTTTTGCAAAAAAAAAAAAAAAAAAAAAAACATTTGGACTAGAATTTTTTGTATGCAATACTAAAAATAAACTTCATTTAATAGTATAGCAATTTAATAATTTTTAGTTTTAATGTAGTAGTAAAATAAGTTTTCATTCCTAGTAAGTATTTTGTTTTAAGATTAAAGTTTGATTTTAATACATGATTTATGTATCAGGTGCCAAATCAAAACTGGCAAAATATTTTAAATGTGTTGTTTCAACAAAGTGGTTTTGAATTTATCATAACAAAGAAAAAACTAAAAAAATATTAACAATTTTTTATAAAATGTGTCTATTATAATTTATATATGTATATATACATTTAAACAACTTGAAAAAAAAAAGACTTACTTGACATATATTGATATCTCTAAGTATAACGTTTTGAGGTTTTAGATATGTTTTTCACGAATGAGTTCATAGGAAAAATATTTATTTGAATTGAAATAATTCAATATATGCATTGCTGTCAAAAATATTAAGCTATATGATTTTTCTTTCTTTCTTATACATGAAGTCAATTTTTCTAAAATATTGTAATGTGAAAAGCCTAAAAGTTTTAAGACAATATGTGAATTTTATAAGAATTATGAACGGCATGTATGCATAAAGTGACATACTATGAAGATAATTATCTTATTTCTTTTCAAAACGATAAGATGAAATTAATACTGCGTTCTACATCGCAATAACACTGTAACAGAGATCTTATGTGTATTATTTATATAAAATTGTTTCATGCAGACATTTATTAAAAATGCTTAAGTTTTTGACTAATATTTTTAAGTTTTCTTTTAATTAGATATTGCAAGATTTTCGTATATTATGAAGACAAATATATACATCATCAAGTATAATTGTATTGCTATTAGAGAATACTAACTGACTAATAGAATTATGCACTTGTAAACTACAAGAAAATGTGTATTCCCAATTTTTAATTACAAAGTCTAACAACGTTTTTGCACAGCAATGCATATTTTACTAGACTAGCTTAATGGATACAGTTAGTGTAACAATAGTAATAATTTTAATTTTTCATGTTTTACAATATTTTTATACTAATCCATTTGGGATTTGCATCTAGAAATTGTTATTAAAAACTGGCATCGAGTAAAAAACGATATTAAAGGAAATGTATAAAACATTAAAGTTTAATTATTTTTAGAAAAATACTGTCAATATTTTAAACACAGAACTGGCGCAATGCTACCAATCAGTCAAGAAGTTGTATCACACAAATCACGAGATCTCCAACTCCATTCAGAAGTTTTTTAGACATGGACTTTTTCTTCCTATCACTTTTTACTGGTTGAATAGAATTGGAAGATGAGACACCCAGTTCTGAGCTATTGCTAACTAGTTCTGAACGAGGAGATGAAATTGGTAGTAGACTGTGACATTTCTCGCGTTTCACAGATATTTTCCAACCACTCCATCGATCTGGCAGTGAACTGTCTGGAACAGGGGTACCATCATTAGTTAGACGAGATAGCAGAATTTCTTTGTCTTCTTTGCTCAGAACACCTTGACTAACAGGGCCACGAAGAAATTCTTCAGAAGTCATCGTAAGATAGCGGACTAGAAAGAGGGCTTTTCCAAGTACAGAGCATTTGTTTTCTGCAGTGAGTTCTTTTCTTTGTTTCTTGCACGCTCTGCAAGCCCATCTCATCACTGAATCAAAAACCACAGCTTCAGAGCTCACTTCCAAAGAGTCTCTTTTTATAATTTCAACCATGAGTTCGTGTTCTAAAGTTTCAAAAAGTTCGCTTTGGAGGATATCGTCTGCGTGTCTGTCTACAATAAGCAAACACTTGAAAACGAGTTCGTTTCTTTCGTTGTCGTTGTCATGACAGTCATCTTGAGAAGTCTCATCATCTGATTGGTTAGATGAGAGTAAGGCAGGATGATGAATATTTGGATACAGAAGATGGCTAAGCACAACTAGAACATTAGTAGTGTTAACGTTTTTTGAAACATAATGGAGGCAATGGGAAGTCAATATTGGAAGATGATACACTCGGCATGGATATAGGAGGCGTAGAGTTGTATCCATATTTGATAATGCTACTTGACCAGTATAAATGTACCTAAGCAAAAAAATAAAGGTTTTAATCGATATTCATAAAATCAAGACTAAAAGATTTTAGGGTATCGTATCATGGGTAGTTGGAAAACAAATATTTTAATCAAAAATGAGAGTTCAACTATGAAATGGTAAATCTATTCGATAGAAAATATGAAACAACTGATTAAATGGAGGAGTTTCATGGTAAAGGAGAATCATCTGGCAAATTTTTATCCGCAATTAAGTAGGAAAATATATTTAAACTAAAAACAAAATTAGAGGTGTCTCGAGAAATATTTTATTTCTTCTTCAGATTTAGCTAGTTTCGAAGTCGAATAACTTGTTAATAAAGCAAATTCTTGCAGTGTTTTTTAAAATATTTCCCTCAGTTATGCATTTACATTTTTATTGTACATATATTCGTATTTAGTAGCTGTTATATCTTGCATTATATGTTTTGAGCATTACGTAGTTTTCGCAAACTTTATTTACCTCAAATGTCATACATTTGATTGAGATGAGAGGGTTTATAACTACTACTACTATATAAAATTTCTTTATATAGCTAGGCTCATTTAATATTTTAAGGATGAAACAAATTAACTTTCTACTTACACTTTCCTTTTCTAATCTTTTAGAAACATCCTTAAATTATATTTCAGGATATAATGTTAGTGATGAGACAGACAGTATTTAGTGATGAGACAGACTAAAACGAACGTTTTATGAAAAGTAATTATATAAAATTTCAGAAGACTACCATTCGTCATTTCAGTTACACCAATAGTTATCTAAAAGTGCCCATATTTAAACATTACTTATTTATCAGTTGAAATGTATAACTGCCATCTTTGATTCTTTATGTACGAGTAAATTTTCTTTCATTAAAAATTTATAAACCTACAGTAAAGTGTTAATAAGCAGGGCTGAGTGTGCTCTGGAAAAAATCCGGATTTCCGGATTTTTCGCTAACAGTGATCCGGAAGTTTCCGGAGATCAAAGGTCCAGACGTTTCAAAAAATCAATGATCACAGAAGTTTCCGGAAATCGAATTTTCAAAGGTGGAACTTAAAAACACAGTTTATTTTGTTTGTTTGTAAGGGAGAGCCAGGGAGATACTTTATAAGCTCATATTCATGATTAATATTCATTTTTTATCAGTAAATAGTTGTTATAATCATAAACTCAAGAAAGAAAGACATAATTGTAAATTTTAATTACTTCTCCAGGTCATCATAGGTATGTGTAAATGGTAAAGGTATGTGTAAAATTTTAAACATATTTTAAGTAAACTAAGAAATGTTGAGAAAAAAGAAGAAAAAAAAACGTTGTTTAAATTTTTTTCTAATTTTTCAATTTAAACTGTTTTTTTTTTTAACTTAAGAAATTTTCCGGAACTTTGACTTGGGGCTCACAATCACCCCTGAATAAGTCTAAGTTACTACCTAACTGAATAGAAGCAAGGATTAGACATGTATAAAATAAAACAAATTTTGTTTTTCCCAAAACAATAACAATAAAAAATATTTTTAATATTGTGAACTTGCTTAGGCATTATACATTAATATTATTTCATGTATTTTCAATTTAAAATGAAACGATACATATGAATTTCAGCAGTTTCTTTTTTGAGTTATAGCATTTTCGCTAAGGTTATTTAGCTTTGCCCACCCTTTTAATATACTTTTAATACCCCCTTTTAATAAAATTGTTTGACATGTTCATAATTAACTAACTGTTAAATTTAGGTGATGAGAATCGTTTTACAAAGGTTAGTTTCAAAAATTAAAAGTATAGATGTAGACGATAAGTTTATAAAGTTTCACTTTCTTCCAGTTTTTTTTCTTCGATTAATCAAATCACTGAACTCACTCACAAAATTATCTGACAAGATGTGGAATGTTCAAATAATACTTCTTTGAACTAGACCGATCCCAAAATATTTTTTATCAGCTTTTTCCATTAACGAATGTAATCAACACTCTCTTTTTGTTGTTAAACCGTTAAACGAGATTACAATTCTAAAAACGTTAATTTAAGACATATGTGAATACATAATCAGCTCTTCAAAAATTTAAATTTGGTTATCAGTTTCTAGCGTAAAGGTAAGTAATTTCGTTTGAGAAGTTTTTTAAGTTTATGACCGAATTGATATCCAAGGGAGGGAGGGAGGGAGGAAGCTCTCGGTCAAGGGCTCGATCAAAATTTTTTCCCGGTCAAGGTTCCCAAATCTTAGTGTTTTTAATATAATTGTTTTCAAAAGAAAACTCTGTTTACTCTTTTCCATTCATAAAAACTACAATTTTGAATAATTTTTTTTCAAATCTTCTACTAAATATGAAAAAAATAATTTTTGTGTTTAGTGAAAGTAGCCTGCAGTATATTTCGTCTTGGGGGCCCGTAACACTTGTGTCTAAAATTGTTTACAACGTTTATTTCTCCAGAAGAGTGGTTTTTCACTTGATATGTACTTCATATGTAGAGTGAATATCTTTGTAGCTTTCCCTGAAATTGTTTTAAAAATATGACAGTGCATTGTTTTTTCTTTTTGCATATTTACTTTTAAAAATCCCACTTTTTTTTCAATATGTTAAATATTTGACCTATTTTTGATTTTTGAATAATCAATTTGTTTTACTTGATTTTTTTTTAAAATTATTATTTTAGCTCACTTATTTTATTGTAAAATTAGGGTAAAATTAATTACCTTAATATTTGTTCAAAGACTTCAGGTTGCAACTTGGGAAGCTTAAGTATGATGGGAGACCTTTGAGCAGGACTTGTGTCTGTGTTATTATCTGAGCAAGAGGATATGTCTGCAAGTTGAGGTTGTGCAGTTCTCAGGAAAGCAGACAGAGTAAGGCGGCTTTTTGTCAAAATGAAAGAATGGGCTGGGAATCGCCATTCTTCCGGGCCTACTATAAAAGTAATATCACTGTGATCTTCACTATTGTAAAATAAATGTCCAGGACTAGGAGCGGAAGGTTCTGGCCGGGGTGTATACTGAGAAGCATTATCCTGCAATAAAAGACATTGTTTTACAATTTATAGAGGTGTATGTTGTCAGAAACCAAATAATTAAAACACATTTATACATGAAACATAAAATGTTCTATGCTTGTTTTAACTTTAATGCTAAATTATGATTCTTAAAGTAAATATATATTTGCTGTACAATTTATACTTTTACTGTTTATTACTATTTATATGTACCAAGTCAAACCACGAATTTAGGACTCGAAATCTCTTTACAGGGGTCTGTCCAGACATTTTGTGAAAGGTCCGTTTTTCGTGAAATTGTGAAAAAATTACTCACATTCTTTCAACCAGGGTCCGCTTTTATAAATTTGTGCAAATAGGGTCCGTTATTGCAAAAAAAAATTTCAGAGTTTTTAAATTGTAAAGATATACAAGATTATGCTCAACACTGTAAAATTATAATTAAAAAAATTAAATTTCAAAAAATAAACAACAATTGCTGCTTCTAAATTAGAGATGCAACATACAAATATTTGGTATTTAGCCTTTACTGCTGAACGCAGAACATTAATTTCGGACGAATAATGGAAGAATCGTCTGCCGAAGACAAAACTTAATTCGATTACATCCATCTTTCTTGTTTTCTGTCCTGGTAAGGGTTTATTCGATTAACAAAATAATAATGAAGATAAACAAATTTGTGAAGGGTCCGATTAAAAGAAAAATCATTTTGTGAAGGGTCCGTGTTTAAGTTAAAATATTTTGTGAAGGGTCCGTTTTTAAGTTAAAATATTTTGTGAAGGGTCAGTTAACGGACCCAAATTTCTTCTAAATAGACCCCTGCTTTAGTACAATAAAAATAAGATTTTTACCCGACATAAAAAATAGTTTTACCCAGTACCAGTGGTAAACAGCTAGTGAATGGTAAAAAGTTGCGTTACATCACGCGTCGGGTTTTGGTGGGAGGGAAAACTTGAATATTGATATCGGAAACAAATAAGGTACATTTTAAAATAAAGGAGCCGAATGAAACCAGGTGCGAGACGTTGAGACCAATAGTTTAAAAATTGCAATGATTTTATGAACAAAAAGAACAATGTATGACTTGTACCTATTTACGCATCTGACAGTTTAATCTAGGCAAGTATTTTTAGTTTCCTACGTATTTTTTCATGCTAAATCAAATGGAATTACCGAATACGGATAAAAAGAACTAACGGTTCAAAGTTGCAAGGGTTTTTATGTATAAAAAGTACTTTTTTTGTCTAGTACTTATTAACAAATTTTACACTGCTATCCGATAACTTCTTAGAAAAATTGCTTTGTTGGGCATTCAAGATATTGACAGTTGATCATTTCAAGATATTGGCAATATGGTGATTTACTTACATGAAGTCTGATTTAATTGATAAATTTGTCATAGCCGATTAAATACAAAGTAAGTTTCAATCTTCTTTCCTCATTGATCACAAATATTCATTGTAGCCGATTATTTGCCTAGTAATTTCAATCTTCTTGTTGGATAAATTTGACAAAAGGTATTTTTAAAATGCTTGCGTGTTTTTAATTTAAGTCTTAAAAGATTTACGTAAATCGGTTAATTGTGTAAAATAGTTTTATAATATTTAACTTCTATTCACTTCGGTTTTGTTCGAATTCATATTAATATTCTGAGTAAGTTTTATTAAAAAACTTATTTTATTTTAAAAAGTATTGTGTATACTTCACACACACATTCTAAATTTGACTCTTGCTTTAGATTGGGTCATAAAGTAACTTTATTGATACTTATGTGTATTATATCTTGTTTAATAATAAATTTTAGTGTTACTGAATAACAAACAAACTGAATAACAACTATTGAACACCAACTGGTTTAAAAGAACATTCCTAGGCGTTTCACTACACCAGAAATTATCCTTAGTTTTGGTGTTAAGGAAGACTGAGTGAAACACTATTTGGTGTAAAGTAGTTGTCACCATTCTTGATGTTCAGATACACGAAAATTTTCACAGCATGGGAAAAATTATTTCAGATAATTCGAGAATGTACTTACTATCGTGTGGTAGATATAGTTTTGTGAGTTATCTTCACTTTGTTGAACGCGAGTTGTTACCACAGGTGCAGTGGTGCCATTGCCTTCTTCCCTCAAATTATCGGTGGTGCAAGTCATGGGTGGAAGTAGGAGGGTCGGGCGAGTAGATGGTGGTGTTGACGAGCTTCTGTGAGAATGTTTCGATTTTGATTGACTCTTGCGACGCCATGCGGTACTACTGTCCGACTTCTTGATTTTGTTCGGCAAACACTAAAAAAAAAATTAATGCTTTGAAAATTAATTAAGAAAAAAAAATTAATGCTTTGTAGTAAACGTACACATGTTTAGTTAGCACAAGAATTTGATAGATGGATTTTCCAATTACAAGTTTTAAGGCATAAAGATTTTAATTTTACAAAAAATGTTTGAAAAGAAATCATTAAAAATTCTGTGACTTAAAGAAATCATTGTCTTGCAAATAGGCTGTCACATTGTTAAAAATTCCATATCAAATTACAGTATAAAATATCAGCACTTTCGGTGCATCATCCGGAAAATTCGTTTTTACCTTAAAATATTACAACGTAATTTTTACAGTAATATTTACGTAACTACAGTGATTTTACTGTAATTATTACTGTAAAATCACGGCAAATCAGATTTTTTGTTTCGTAACATGTTTCGGTAAAAAATGGATTTTACGATGAGAAGTACCGGCACCCTGAGTGCCGGTAATTTTTATCGCAATTTGATCCGGAGTTTTTTTTTATGGAGCACAAGACAAAAGGTTATGTAATCGGATAAACTGAGAAACGTTCAGAAGATAGTATAGAGCCATACATCCCAACCTGAGATAGATGTAGATGCATTACAAAAATATATATTTTGTCAAATAAATTTGCATTACTAGCTTATTTAAAAAGAACAATCTGAAAATTAAATTTCTTTAAAAAATTCATAAGAAAAATAAAAGCGAAGTTTTGAGCCATTATCTAGCAATACTTTAAGGTTTAAAAACTGTTTGCAATTTTATTTTTGACGACTATTGCAAACTATTCGCAATTTTTATTTTTGACGAAGAAAAGAATTTATCCTCTCATTACAAGTCTTTAATGATATATATATATTTTAAAAACCAATAAGGTATAAAACATTGTATGAGTTGATAAATGCGTTAAAAAAAACATCCTAAAATGTTAATTTTACAGGAGTGTCAAAAGATTGTTAAATGGCGTGGTTTGACTCTTTTTTTTTTCAATTAGGGTGATTTATTTTAAACTTAACTACTGCCTAAAAATTTTTGAATAAATGTTAGTTTACAAACTATAGACATGTTGCTATTTTACAGTAATTGATGAGCGTATAGATTATTTTTAAAAAATCGTCAAACAATCGTCAAGCAGTGACTGTGTGTAGAAAAAAATTTCCTTTTTACGTTTGCAAACTTTGGGAAGAAAAATAAATATCGTTTAAACCTTTTTTTTTTTTAAAGAAAGGCTACACAATGAAAACAGTAAAATTTTTTTATACAATTGGTACAATTTCTGAATAAATAAATAATCAAAAAAACTCATGTCAACATATAATGTAATATAATTTTTTGCTAATAAATGCGATAAAGAAAAAAGTATTAGTTAATTACTTTAAAATCTCAGTAAAAATACCAAAGAAGAATAACACAATTTAGGTTTGAAATTTTATTCGTTTACGAATGCTTACATTTCAATGCAACGAAGATTGCTTGAGTCACTATAAATTTAAATTCTATTCTGGTATAATTTTATAAGTTCTAACTCAATAAGGCGTTTCATTTTATAAAGGTCAAAATTTTTATATAAGAAATACTTGATATTTTAAGAAAGAAACATCTTACCTTCGCATTTTGGGAAAGAATCAACTGTATCATGCTGAATAATTGTTTTCACCATTTTAGAAACCCAAAACGCATTCAAATCATTCGAGCTAATTTTTTAAAAGAGGCTTTTTTCAAAGCTTCCATAAGATTTTTCCACAGGCGAGCGCCTGCTCTTAGTCTTCCCTTCATCGCACCTTCCCGATGCGACGAATAATTAAAATCTCTCCCACGTAAACTTAGCATTAAAAACCCCCAAAAATTGACTTCGTTTCATTGAGCAGCAGAGAGCGTGATATTTTACGCTTCTCTGATTTCATACAAGGTTATAGTGATAGGATAAAGTGAGCTAGAGGCTTGTACTATTTGGTAACTATTTAGAGATCATGGAGATGAAGAAAATGATTCGCGCTCTATGATTTTTTCTATCACGCAAGGAGAAAAGGGACATATAACTGTGAAACAGAGAGGCTATTTTAGTCAGCTTTAAAAGGGATTAATTATAATTTCCCAATCAGATTCTGATTCTTTTCTTTATCATTTTGAAATTTATTTTTGAACATTTTAATTTTGCTTTAGAACGATAGTATCTGCCGAGAAAAAAAATTGGGTTGAAGTAGTTTATAATAATAAAATCGACAACATAATGTAAAAAAAAAAAATGAATATTTAAGCCCCGTAAACCATAAAACTATGTGTTAAATATAGTAAAATAGAGATGTTCACAAAAAAATAAATATTTCTGTTCAACACTGTAAAATATTCCGGATCAAATAACGGTAAGAAGTACCGTAATTTGATCCGGTATGGAAAAAAGTACTCCGGGTGCTGGTACTTTTTATTGCAGAATCCATTTTTACCGGAACCAGAAAATCTATTTTTACCTTAAAATATTACGGTAAAAATGGATTTTATGGATGCTGCTCAGAGAGTGGCAGTACTTTTTACCGTAATTTGACCGGAATTTTTACAGAGCATTCTCTAACTTTACGGAATAAAAAATGTAATAAACCGTAATTTTTACAATAATAATTACTTTAAAATAACCGAATCAATTAATTAAATGAATATTTCTGCAAAAATTGAGGTATAATATGTTACAGTAAAAAGGATTTTACAAATGATGCATCTAAAGTGCCGGTACTTAATACCGTAATTTGATCAAGAATTCTTTGCTGTGAAATTGATAAGTAGAGCTTTTATAACCTCTTAAATCAAAAATTTTCCCTCGAGCTCTTAAATTATTGATTTCATATAATTACTTTTGAGAATGTAAAATGCAAATAAAATATCAATGCACATTGAGAATTGGGAAATTAATTATTGTACATTGGGAATTTTTAAAATAACTTATTTATTATTAACGTGATTTTAAAGAAATGGTGATAATATGTATTAATTATAAGAACGAGTATGAAATACATATGTAGAAGAAATATCATAAAAAAGTGACTATAAGCATTATTCCTTTTATTTATTTGTACAATTTATATTTACTTATAACAACTAATATTGAAATAAATAAATAAAAGGGTTTAAAAATAATAACTTAAAATGAACTTAGAAATCGAATACGTCCAACACTAAGTCGCATACTTCTTTTAAATCACAGATATACCATAACCAATTTCCTAAAAATAAGTTTGATAATGTTTAATTTCTTTTCTATTATAAATAACTCTTTCAAAAAAAAAGTTTAAAAGCATTTTTATGTTCTTCCTACGTAATCTTGCACTTCCTTAGACAAGCAACTAAAAACGGCGGAGGCATCAATTGTGCATCTATCATAAAGTTTACTTTATTTTGAGTTGTCGGTACTATCTTTAGATCTAAGATATGTCATAGCTTCTTTTTAAGGAGGATTAATATCGGTAGTATTTGAGCTAATACATTAATAACATCATTTAAACAATTAATTAATAACAGTAATAAATAAATTAGCATGTAAAAATAGAACACAGGCCTTTACTAGTTTTGCTCTATAATCAAGAACTGATTTTTACGGGGATTGTTTTTTAAATAAAAAAAATTATATTTTGTAGGAAAGTTGATAGTTTTCAATTTAAGCTTATTTGCCCCGAAAAGTTGCATTTATTGTTTAAGCATTTTAAAATTGGATTATATTAAATACATATTTTACTTCTTTTAATTGAATTCATATCTAAAAAATCGTTATGAGGTATTATGAAAGATTAATAAGTCGATATATCTATGATGACAAAACTTTATTATTTATGAAGATAAGGTTAGTTTAATTTAACTCTTGGAAGAATAGCAATACTTTGTAATTTGTTGTACACTTATGTAATTATCCTTAAAAATCTTAGTGTTCTAATAACTTAAATTGCATATAGAGTTGAATTCATTTATAATGAGCAAGGAAGGGCAGCCAAATTTACTCGTTATAAGCGAGTTCTTGTAAAAAATGGGTTCGTGAAAAAAAATCATAAAAGTTGACAAATGCTTATAAAATTTTATATATAATACTTTATTTTTTTGGAACAAAAGAAAGTAGTTAATTGATTCGAAGTATCTTATTGTTTCTTTGTTGAGTTATTATTATTAGGATAAGTTTCAATAGCCCAAAAAACATAGTCATTTACATTTCTGCTTTTGAAAAAAAATATGAAATTTTTTTACGCATTCTGAAGTCATTAAGTACATTGGGGCGGATTAGCTTAACATTTTTAGCATACGTTGTTATTACTATGGCTTTTGTTATTTTTTTCTTTCAAATTTTCTAGCTTGAATTTCAGTCTCAAAATATTGTTCGCTAAAACTGGGGTTTGCTCGTAAAAAGAGAGCTATGCTTGAATAGGCTTAAGATTGTACCAACGTTAAGATTGCATTTCCAATTTATTCGTTAAATCTAAGTTCTCGTTATAAGCAATTTTGACTGATCGTTATAAGCTAGTATTAATTCTCTATTATGTTAAGGCTAGATAAGTTACGCAAGCGATAAGAAAAAATAACCCTTTTAAATCAAAATTGATTTAAAAGGGTTATTTTTCAAGTATCAATTTTTATGTTTTCTAAATGATGAAAAAATATTCTGAAAAACTATGTCGCCAATATGATTTTCGAAATTTTTAACATATCATAAAGCATATAAACATAAATTGTTGGCATCAGAAAAATGTTATTAAGTATATCGAAACATTAATCCCCACAAATTAAGACATGAATTCAAACTTTAATCTAACTAAAAAAATTTACGAGAAATTTCAAAATAAACAAAAATTCTCCCGATTTAATTCCAATTTGTAAAAATTATCTATAGGCTAGTTCTAGTAGAAATAAAAAAGTAGAAATTGAAGTGAATTGAACAATACATACTTTAATGATGATGCTATCAAAAAATTTATCAAATCAGAATTATATTCTATATTAGCAGGACTTTAATTTACTTATAAATATC